GAGGGTCACTGAGAGATAATTCACAGTATTCAACAGTAAAATGGAGCAGCCCCGTAGCATTTCTATAGTTAAGTCATATGAAATGCATCTTTTTATTTTCTGAATACTTTTTATTTCTTTTTTTTTTGCTGAGGAAGATTTGCCCTGAGCTAACATCTGTTGCCAGTCTTCCTCTTTTTTATGTGAGCCACCACCACAGCATGGCCACTGACAGATGAGTGGTGTAGGTCTGCACCCAGGAACCAAACCCACACCGCCGAAGTGGAGCACACTGAACTTAACCACTAGGCCAATGGGGGTGGCCCATTATTTGCTGAATACTTTTAAAGTTGCAAACTAAAGCTGGGTTTCAGGGACAAAATGTATGAATTCCTATAATCCTGAGCACCTGCACTGTCCCCAGAATTACCCTGTGCATGCATAGAGCACCACCTCCTGCCGGCCAGGGACCTGATGAAGCAGGCAGGGGTGAGCCGTTCTCAGGCTGCTGGCTCAGGGAAAGTGCCAAGTGACTGACATCAGGGCAGTTCCTGCAGCCTGGGCCTGGGCCAGAACAGTCTCCTGCAGCAAACTCTCACCAGGAGTCTTCACTTATCAGCACTGGCAGATGCTTAAGTGACATGCAGGACAGCTCTGGGCGTCTGCCAGCTCAGGAGCTGGCTGAGGCCTCGCCATGCTCTCTGCACATTCCTTTACCATGTTCCCCAAACTCCCCACACTCGTACTAAATCAAGCCACCTCTTTCTCTCCCTCGCTGAGTGGTCCTGCATCCACCTCTCAGCCTAGTGACTCCATCTTCCAGACTCCAGGGCTCTGTACGGCCTTCTTGAGAACACTCGCCCTGGCCAGCAGCCAGCAGTCATGCCACCCAAATTGCCAGAGCACCGCATTCCCCCTGCCAGTGCTCAGCCACACGGCAACCCTCACAAGGCTCAGACCCCCTGGGTATTCAACACATGAGGTACGGGGAATAACTACTGGGATACAATGTGAAATGACACTCGCAGCACTAATGTAGTTATGTCTTTAGTTTTACAACAACAGTTAACATTTAGGTTTACTACACGTTCCAGACACTGTTCTAACCATGCTGGATGTGTTGATCTTCCAGAATCCCACCAGGTAGGTGCTCTCATTAGCCCACTGCAGGTGGGGAGACCAAGCCCCTGAGTGGTGTGCCCCCTGTCCAAGATCACAGTTAGTGTGGGGCAGAGCTGGAGTCTGATCAGTCCTTCTGGTCCTGGAGTGTAAGCTCTGAAGGACTGTGTTATCTTGGGAGAGTGGCCCACCAGGCTTTGTCTGCAGAAGACTGAGGTCGGATCCTCAGTCGTGATCGTATGCATAATACAGATTATGCATAATTTTCAAAATGCGTTTCCATTCGCTGGGGCTTGATCTCTTCCACTGGTGCCTGGTGGACGCCGTGCTGCCAACTCACAGCTGCTCAGGAGGTAAGTGAGCCTGAGCCTCAGCTTGGAGCCTTTAGTCTCAGGACCTCTTTAGGCTCCTAAATACATAAACACTACTAGGAGCCCAGAGAGCTTTTGTTTATGTGGGTGGTGTCTCCTGATATTTACCGTGCTAATATCCAAACACAAATGTTTAAGACGCAAGAACACACGTTCCTCAGCTGTCAGAGTGATGGCATCATTCCACGTGGTGGATCCGCTGGAGAACTCCACGGTCAAGAGAGGAGACGAAAGGGAAACAGACAAAACTCTTAGTATCATCAGGAAGATAGTCTGACCTTGGACCACAAAGGGTCTTGGGGACCCCCAGGGGTCCCTGGATCACACTTTGTGAACTGGTAGTCCAAGTCAATCACGGCAATTAAAATGCAATTAGCATTCTTTTTTATCAAAGATATCTGTGAGTTTTACACATTTAAAAAGGGAACTGGGGATGGCTGGGTGTCGTAGTGGTTAAGTTCGGATGCTCCACTTCAGCGGCCCAGGGTTCATGGGTCCAGATCCCGGGTGTGGACCTACATGCCATTCACCAAACCACACTGTGGTGGCATCCCACATATAAAAAATACAGGAAGATTAGCATGAATGTTAGCTCAGGGACAATCTTCCTCAAGCAAAAAGAGAAATTGGCGACAGATCAATCAAGGTCAATCTTCCTCACCAAAAAAATAAAAAAAATAAATAAAAAGGGAACTTGGCGTAACAAATTCAAGGTGATCCTTGTGAGCCCCTCTTCAGCTAAGCCAGCTTGAAGTACCCAGGGACAATTTGGGGACTTTGTTTGCAAATCTTCACTGAATTCAACATTAGTAAAAGGTTCTGAATTTACCATCCTGGAAAAGAAGTTACTTGCACAACTGGCACCAGCCGTAGGGCTGCTGTTCCAATGACTGTTATCAGCAGAACTCAACTGTGTTCCCAAGGGCTGGTTTCAGGGATGGAGAAGGGCAGGCCTCTGTGGTGACAAATCTGTGGCTCCTTCACAAATCCAAGGAGGGGGTTGCAGATGCGGGTCATGTCGCTTATGGAATGTGACCACCCCCCAGAGCTTCTGGCCTGTTATATGCCAGTTATATAATCACAAGATGGTGTTTCAGGTCCTGACTGTCCGGATTGTGGAGGTGTTGAAGAGGTTTTTGTGTTTTGTCCCTGGTGTAACACTGTCCGGCACACAGTGGGCACTCAGACATCTGTTGAATGAGTACATGACCCATCTTGCACTGTGGAAGCCTCCTGCTTTCTGCACGCTGAAATTCTTTGCATGAAACACATTATGCAATATTGTGACAGCCTTACTAGCAAAAAAGTCTTAGGAAGACATTTTTACTCTCAATCTTTCTAGTTGGATTTGTGATGAATTGATTAAAGAAAAGAATACATCATATATTTAGACTTTAAAATAACATCAAAACTGTTAGGGCTACAGGAAGAGTACTGGGTGTAGAGTTTTAAAAATTGAGGGTGGTTTTGGTGGTCCTAAGGTCAGGGGCCCCAGGAATATCAGAAACTTGCTTCCTGCCACAGTTCCTCCTTCCCTTCAGGTTTGTGAGGGTGACACACCACAGAGCTATGGTGACTGGAAAGCAACAGACATAATAATTTACTGTGAAATGAGCATGGGTTCCAAATTCTAATGCTAAGAATGCTGGTGAGCTGGTGTTGACTACAGGGCTGAGACTGGGCTGGCTGGGCCCAAACCCAGGTGTCACTTCTTAATACATGGCCACAGGGGAGGAGACAGGGGGGTGTGCCAGGACGTGGGTCTGCTCTGGCCACTTCTGCCACTTGTGTACAAGAGGAAGTAGGAAGAAGGAAGGTGGCTGGGCTGCCTCCATTTCAGCAGTGACCTCTGGCCATTCGACGAGGGAGCGAGGAGCCCACCCATGCGCGCACTCTCAGCGAGCCCCCAACTCTCCCAGTCTACAGCAGAGGAGTGGTTTGATGGGAGGAGGTGGGGGTGCTCCGAGTACCTTCACTTCGGGGCAAAATGAAGTAGGACACGTCGTTCCTTCTCTGGGCGGGCATCGAGCATCACCAGCACTGACTTTTCTGGAGCCACATGTGGCTAAAGCTTAGTCAACAATTAGCTTTTGGTTCCAGGGAACACAGATATGCTGGAACGTAAGTGCCTTTGGCAGGAACTTGGTTTTGTTCATGGTTGAGTCCACAGCTTTTAGATCAGTGTGTGGCAAATAGTAGGCCCTGAATCAATGTTTGCAGGATGAATCCAAGAGCTTTGAGTGGGGAGGGGGTGGGCTGTAACAAACACAGTCACTGAGCAGTATCGGAGAAGGCATCTGAGCAGAGGTACTGCCAGGGCCACACCTTACTGACTGGGCTGGGGGACGCTCGGGAGAAGCGAGATGGCCCTTGGACCATGTGGGTGCATGCTCTGGGTCTCAGTGCAGCGTTATGGAGTCAGAATGCTGGGTGGCCCAGGTGACTGCATTAAGGAAACCAGGCTTTGCGGGAAGGTGTCGGAGAACTACTCTTCAGGGCTAGAGCTCAGTAATCTGTAGGAATGATGTGTTTTGTTTGGCCCACACAGTGTTTGACAAATTAATTGCTTTTATTGAAATGTCCAATAAAAATTTAATTTCCAGTTTCTATGGAAAAACTGGAAGATGTGGCAATGCTAGCTCTCTAGCAGCTCCCTTCAGTCCCCCTGGGCCCAGCAGGTGCCTTCACTTCCATGTAATCTTCCTGTTCCTCTTTTCTCTGGAGCGACTGCGACGGCTTCCAACTTGGCCTCGCATCATGTTCTTGCCCTTCACACAGTTTCAAGAGCAGCATTTTATAAGAGGACTCTGTGTCTGTGCCTCCCGACTAAAGCCCTCACTGGCAGGTCCTGCTCACACGCTAAGGATCACTCATGTGCCCTGAGGCCTCGCCTCACCCTGGCCACCCCCCTACTGCCGTGTCCACCTAGCACCCATATGGAGGCCCAAGCATCTTGGGCTTACCTGTACAAAACTAAACTCCCGGTTTTTCAACCCAAACCTGTACCTCCTCCTGGTCCTTTTAGCCAATGTCGACTTCATTCCAGACCCTTCTCTTTCTCTTACAGCCCAAACTCTTGCCAACTCTATCCTGAAAAACATCCCAGGTTCGACTATCTCGTGAGTCCAGATGTCACTGCCGCCTCACTCCACCTTTTCTGTGCTCTCATCGTCTCCAGAGCAGTCCTTTCAACAGTCAGTTGCCTTGTTCCCCACCTCCCTGCGACCTTCCGTGGTTTACCTTTTCATGCAGGGTGAAATCCCAACTGTGAATTGGAACCCTCACCAGTCACCTCCTTCCTCTGTGTCTCCCAGGTTGCTCTGTGCTGGTGGCGCTCCTCCCGCCCCTCCTGGTGTGCCCTTCCCCAAGTCGGCTGCCTTGCTTCCTCAGTGGGCATCTTATCTGAGTCCTTCCTCGCCCCCATTACCCTGTATTTAAACAGGCCTTAGAACCGTGTGGGCACATAGTAGACACTTAGAAGCCTTAAATATGTGTTGAATGGAAGAGTGACTGCTGCCCCTCCAGCCACAGGCCTCTCTCCATGTCACCGACACCAGTGATGCTGCCCCTTTGCCCAGAGTTGTCCAACAGAAACTAAATGCAGCCAGGGTGTCACTTAAAATTTCCTATTAGTCACAATTAAAACAAAATGAGGGCAGCCCAATGGCGTAGCAGTTAAGTTTGAGCGCTCTGCTTTGGCGGCTTGGGGTTCACAGGTTCGGATCCCGGTCACGGACCTACACACTGCCCATCAAGCCATGCTGTGGCAGCATCCCACATACAGAATAGAGGAAGATTGGCAACAGCTGTTAGCTCAGGGCCAATCTTCCTCACCAAAAAAAGACACAAAAATACCCCAAAATGGGTAAAATTAATTTCAACACTATATTTAATGCAATTGTCCAAAATACCATCATTTCCACATGTAATAAACACAAAAAATTTACTTGTGAGATATTTTACATTCTTTTCTTCTTTGTACTAAGTTTTTGAAAACAGGTGTGTAGTTTATATGCACAGCACATGTCAGTTTGGACTCACATTTCCAGTGCTTACTAGTCATCTGTGGCTAGAGGCCACTTAGTGGACCAGACCTAGAATGCTCTCCCCACCACTTCTTACTCAGGTAGTTCTTCCTCGACCTTCTGACAGCAGCTCCAGGGTCAGGCCTTGGGGAAGGCTTCTGTAGGCCTCACCCAGATGAGACCTGATTGCCACTCAGTGTTCTCCCATAACTCCCCACCTGGTCTTTCAAAGCACTGAGCACGGCTTGTAATTAGGGACCTCTTCAGCTATTTGACGAACACATGTTGTCCCCGCCTGAGGAGAGGCCACACGTGGGAGAGACTGGACCTGCCCTGCTCCTGTTGAATCCCCAGTGCCTGATCTAGGGCCTGCCCACAGCAGACACTCCATAAATATTTTGACTTAATGCATTAAATGGCTTGATTCTTCCTTTGCTCTGCTTTTCTTTTCTCTCTAGTTTTGACTTACAGGTTCTGCTTTGGTGGAACTTTGCTTTTCCTTACTATGTTTTCAGATTGTTTCCGAGGGAAATTGCCTTATTTATATTTCCTACTTTAAATTCCCTAGAGAGAGTATTGGATTGGCTAAGGTCAGTGTTTTTCAAATTTTCTCATGGATGAGTATTGTCAGGAACCCAAAATAAAAAACGCTAATTCCGGGGCTGGCCCCGTGGCCGAGTGGTTAAGTTCGCGCGCTCCACTGCAGGCGGCCCAGTGTTTCGTTGGTTTGAATCCTGGGCGCGGACATGGCACTGCTCATCAAACCACGCTGAGGCAGCATCCCACATGCCACAACTAGAAGGACCCACAACGAAGAATATACAACTATGTACTGGGGGGCTTTGAGGAGAAAAAAAATAAAACAAACAAAAAACCGCTAATTCCTAGTTCCCTCTCCTCTAGATTGACACAGTAGATGAATGTGGGGTCTGGAGTCTGAATTTTATCAATTTTACCAGGTAGTTCTTACAATGAGGCAACTCTGGGAACCCTTGGGTCTTCTTGGATGCTCGTCAGCCCCTGGGTTGGCTGTTATCGTCAGGTGTCCCCATCCAGGGAAGTTACTGGGTAAGAGTGGGGAGAGCACAATCTAGCTGCCCAGAGGAGTCTGAAGTTCTCCATGGTTTCCCACAGGACGAGCACTGTTCTCAGGGTTGTGCACACCCCTGGTGGAACCTTCCGGGCGGCCCTTTGAGAGCAGCGCTGTCCGTGGTTCCCGCTCCGCCAATGAGACTGAGGGTCTGAGAGGTGATGAGGCTGCCCGGGCTCCGGCTGGTGGGTGGCCTGGCGGCGGAGCGTCCTCCACTCCTCGAGCACGGGGACAGGGTCGCAGGCTCTCCTCCAGCCCCAGTGAGTCCCCCCAGATGACGGGTCGCGGGCTCCCCTCCGCGGCTGAGTCCCCTGGACGAGCGGCGGGCGCACGGAAGGAAGCGGAACTCGAGCGAACCCAAAGCCCCCCAGCGTCCCGCGTCGGGAGCCACGGTGTAGGTCACCGCCGACCGCCGTCCTCCCGCCGGGGCGCGCGGCCTGCCCCCGCCCGGCCAGCTCGACGCCTCGCGCGCGTTTCACGACGAGAGGCCTCGGGCCTCGGGCCGCACGTAGCTCGCGCCGCGGCCGCACGGCTGACGTCCGGTCGGCCAGCGCCTTCCACGCCAGACTCAGGTTCTCGAGCGTGCCCTCGCCGCTTCCGGCACTCGGAGAGACCAACCGTCACGTCCGAGGACGAAAGACCCACCGCCTGCGCGACGCAGGCAGCCAACCCAGCTGCGCGCTACCCTAGCGTCCCGTGCGCCTGGACGCACTACCTTGGCCAATCCGTCCAGGGACGTCCTCCTGGTCCCGCCCCGGCCTGTCACAGCTGCTGTCAATCTCGCCGCCGCCCCTCCCGCGTCGCGCACTTCCTCCCCGACGCCTTGACGTGCGCAGCCCTGTGCCCGGCGCGGCGAGCCAATGGCGGTGGCGGATACGGCGGGCCAATGGGCGGCGGCGTCTCATGTGGCCGGCGCCCGCCGCAGCCGCCGCCGGGCCCCGGAGCCAGAGGCCGCTCGAGCCAGAGCGCGATGGAGCGAGGGCCCCAGGCGGGGAGGCGCCGCCGCCGAGCGCGCGGCCCGACGCCCCCTCAGTGAGCCCGAGCCCGGCCGCGCCTCCTGCCGGCCTCGCTGCCTCGCGGACGCTTGGAGCCGCCGCCACCGCCTTCCCGCTCGGGCCGCGGGCCGGGAGACGGGCCGGGGCTGCATGGCCTCGCCCGCGCCCCGCCGCTGAGCCCCGGAGCCGCAGCCCGGAGCCGGGTGAGAGCCGTTGCCGGCCGGGTCGTGGGTCGGGCGGGTGCCGGGGCGTAGGGGCGGCCTCGCGGCCTGCAGGCCTTCCGCACGGGCGGAGCGGCGCGACGGCTCGGACGGGCCTGGGGGCCCGGGGGGTCCGGGCGGGCCTGAGGGGCCGACGCGGGGCTCCCGGGCGGGCCGCGGGGTTCTGGGGGCTGTGAAGGGCCGACGCGGGGCTCCGGGGCAGGTCTGGGGCATTCAGGGGGGCGTGAGGGGCCGACGAGGGGCTCGGGGCGGGCCTGCGGGCACCGGGGGTACATGAGGGCCCACGGTGGGCTTTAACGGGTCTTAGGGAGCCTGGGCAGCCGTGAGGGGCCGACGGGTGGATCTTGGGGGTTCGGGGGACCGACGGTTGGCTCGGCGCAGGCCTGGGGGGACTAGGGCAGTCGTGAGGGGCCTAGGGGGGGCCTTAGTGGGGGTTGGGGGCCTAGGATAGCAGTGAGGGGCCGACGGGTGGATCTGGGGTTCCGGGGGCCGACGGAGGGCTCGGCGCAGGCCTGGGGGGGGGGTCCAGGGTGGCCTTGAGGGGCCGACGGGACCTTTGGGGGGGTCTGGGCAGCCGTCAGGGGCCGGCGGGGGACTCTAGGAGGCCCCAGGGCACCTGGGGAGCTGGGCCGCCGACCTCTGACCCGCGGGAGAGGCGCCTTCACGGTGTCGGTTGTAGTTGTTATTCCCAGCGTCCCTATTATTATCGCTGTTTTGAAATGGGAGCAGGCGGCTCTCGGGCTTCCAGCTGGAGGGGGCTGGTGAGCCGGGCCCTGGAGGTAGAGTGGGGGCGCCGAGGTTTGCAGGGGGCGCGCGTGGGCTCGCAGAGGGGCAGGAATGCGGGGCCGCGGCGCGGGGTGTGGGGGGGGGGGGGGGGGGGGGGGGGGGGGGGGGGGGGGTGGGAGGGAGGCGGTGGCGGTGGCGGCTGCAACAGCAGCCCTTGGCCTCAAGGAACAATGTGAGACGTTGCCTGAAATGTTAATTTCCGTTCCTCATTTCATCATCCCCTGGCAGGGCGGTAGCTGTGAGTGTGTCTGTGGAGGGTTGGCCCTGCCACATGGATTCCGTCCCCTCTCAGAGATCAGTCTTGTGTCTCTGCCGTTTGGGGGGAACCTTAATTTTTCTTGAGGTCTGCTCTTTTCCTGGTGCCTCGTCCAGGTTTTCTGCTTCTGTTGTGTTTTTGGAAAGCTGGTCCTGTACACCAGCTGCCAAGGAGTTGTGGAAGAGGCTTTGGAAGATTCAGCTGGCTTGAGACGGCCTGTGCTTTCAAAACCGTTTTCTTTCTAACAGTTAAGATGGAGCATGCTTAGGTGTCATGGTTTCTATGGGTAATGAGAAGTTTTATATCCCTTTGCAAGAACAGGGTTGTTTTGCAAATTTCTTGGTAGAGAAATCTCAAATTTTGGACTTTTTTTATATGGTGAGAGTTTTCTAAATTGATTTGAGCAGTATCTTTAACGTTCCTTTTCAACTGAGGAGTAAAAGTGAGCCGTTGTTGAATTGAAAAATTTAGAATGTTTTGATTCTTGTGGGGGGATGACGGGACACATTCAGCAAAACTCTGTAAGATGATATTCTTGTGGAAAAACTGCCATTGAAACAGTTACTATTTTTGGTTTGTGCAAACCCAGTCAATGGCATAACTTGGATAGTTCTAAGTCAGAGACCCAGAGGCTGTTTATTTGTTGCTTTTAGGATCTTCATTTCTCTTACTAAGTTGCTGTCCTGGGAGACCCAGAGTTCTTTGTGTGTCTTTTGAGAATGATTGCGCAAGTATTCTGATATTACTTTGAAACTGTAGTTAGAAATAAAAGAGAAAGGAAAAACATCTTGCTTCAGTTGATTGTGACCCTTGAATTGGATCCGTGGGGTTGGTGCTGCCTTCCCCCTCCATTCAGCTGTTGTTCTCTCTGTCGTTCACGCTTAAAAGCAGGATCTCATTTGATAGGCTGGCCCTCCTGAATGGAACGGGATGGGAGGAAACAAAGAGCAAGTTGCTATGACATTTTTTTGTGTTCTTTGTGCATGCCTCTTGAGTTAGTTAAAAAGCTATCCAAAGATAGTGCTAAATTTGACCCAAATTTGAAACTTTCAAAAGTTTTTTTTCCTAAATATTGTTTTATTGTGGTAACAACATACATAAGATTTACCAGAAGTTTGTTTTTAAAGGTGTCACATAGTCATGAATTCCTCATTTGCAGTTGTAACTTGCTGTCAGCTTTCTGACTTGCATTGCCACTGCTGGATGTTTTCTCTGGACCCTCTGTGGACCAGCCGTGTTAATCATACTGCACCAGCAGTGCCTTGCATCTCTCTGAGCCAGATGGGCTGCTTAAGACTAGTGGCTGTCATGGTAGCTATAATTATAGTGTTGATACAGTGACAAGTAGAACTTTCTACAAATAGAGTTAAAGAAACTATGCTGTTTATATGTGAGAATATTTTTCAAGCAGCTTTGTGTGCCTTGGGTTTTTAAGTATGTTTGACATAGGTTATTTTTCCTCAAATATTAGAGGAAAGTTATTTTGCATATGGGCAATGAGCCCATCATCAATTAAATAACATAATTAGAGTGTCAGTAAATGCTGGTTCAGAGCGTAATCTGCATTTGTTGCCAAAATAAGTGTTTTGATCTGTCCATTACCCGGTATAAGTCCCTTCATCCCTCAAATGGTAAGTGTAATGGATGAGCTTCCTTTAATAGCAGGATCTTTGCTGGTTAATAGGTGAAAATGATGATGCATTGCTCGTCTGACTGCACACTTTGGCAGTTTATTAGTGCTGTGTAGTCAGTGCTCTGGGGATGGAACTTGACCCGTTTCATAACTTTATACAAAAATTGAATGAACTCAAATAACTAAAAGTTATTGTCTTAAAATGTTTTCAGTATATGTTCTCTTAATTTGAATTTCAAATGGAATTTCTGTGCAATTCAACTTTTCCAGTTTTATCTTAAAGCTATATGAAAGAGGGTGTCGATCCTCAGCTCCCGGAACTCAGGCAGTGGGAGATAATCAGCACAGAAAGCCTTTTTAGGCTGAGGAAATGACCCACTTTAACAACTACTTTGTTAATTCTGATAAAGATGTTTCTATTCCTAAGTGACTCTTTTTTGTTTGTTTGATGGATCTTATTCATGGTGTCTTTTAAAGCCAGAGTCAGACTCAGCTGTGTATTTAAATGTCTGTTTTGTTATCTTCTGTGCTTTTCTTAACTCATAATGTTCCCCCTCCATATTTAAAATTTTCCTTAAATTCATCTTTGGACCAAATAGTGTTTTACATATATGGTAGAACTACAAATGTTATTTTTATGATAATGTCCCATGCGATTATTAACAGTCTAACCCTGATTGTATGACCCCTCTTTCCCAGGTGCCCACTTGGATCCTTGGTCACTCTCCCTCTTAACTCCTGATGCTGTAGCTGCGTTGGCCTTTCGTTTCCTAGATTGGGCTGTGTGCCTTAATCTAGGGTCTCAATACGTGCTGATCCTCTGTCTGGACCACGGTCCTGCTGAGTGTCCATCATTACCTCCCTTCCAAATCCCCCCTCACCCCCGCCCCCGCACACCAACCAGGAAATCTCCAAGTTAACTCCTACTCAGCCATTGGGTCTTAGTTAAATATTGTTTTCTGGATCCAGCCTGGTGGCACAGCGGTTAAGTGCGCACGTTCCGCTTCTCAGTGGCCCGGGGTTTGCTGGTTCGGATCCCAGGTGTGGACATGGCACCTCTTGGCATTCCATGCTGTGGCAGGCGTGCCACATATGACAGTAGAGGAAGATGGGCACGGATGTTAGCTCAGGGCCAGGCTTCCTCAGCAAAAAGAGGAGGACTGGCAGTAGTTAGCTCAGGGCTAGTCTTCCTCAAAAAAAAAAAAAATTGTTTTATCGTAGAGATCCTTCTTAATCATCACTGCCAAGGAAAGTGGCTACCCCACCTTGTTACAGCCAGAAGGAACTTAACACAATTGATGAAATATGTCATGATTGGTTAATGTCTGTCCCCGTGATAGAAGGGGTGTAACATTACTGATGATAGGTTGTGTCTCTTTGGTCACCTGGGGCCCAGCCTAAGGCATGACAGTAGTCGTAGAATTCGCTCAAGAAATATTTGTTGAATGATTTTTTTTTTTTTTTTTTTTTTTTGAGGAAGATTAGCTCTGAGCTAACTGCTGCCAATCCTCCTCTTTTTGCTGAGGAGGACTGACCCTGAGGTAACATCCGTGTCCATCTTCCTCTACTTTATATGTGGGACGCCTACCACAACATGGCTTGCCAGGCAGTGCTATGTCCGCACCTGGGATCCGAACCGGCGAACCCCGGCTGCCTAAGGGGAACGTGCGCCCTTAACCGCTGTGCCTCTGGGCCGGCCCCAGTTGAACGATTTAAAGCCTGTATATGGAAGTAGTTGAGTAATTTTGAAAAGAGAAACTTAGGATCATGAGCTTTGATTTACTGGATTGACTAGGAATCATGTTGTGTGCATTTCAGTCATGTTCCTATTTGTTTTCATTATAAGTTTCCTTTATGATTTAGATAAAGGTGAGGGACAGGGCTTTTAAAATTGGTGCAGAACAAGAGACAAAGGAAAATAATTAAAGGGAAGATTGTCTTCATGGGAAGAAAAAAATGCTTTCTGTGAAAGCGGTTTTATTAGGACTGCTGCCTTTGGGGCCAAATCGAAAGCTGCCGAGTGTAGTGTGTTGTTGCTGTTGCTGCTTATGGTCCTTAGGTACTCCATCTAGGACTTTGAGCACTGCTGGCCCCTGTAACAGAAACAGTCGTTTAGCATCATAGTGGAGTCCTTTGAAAGCTTTAGCATTCTATTTTTAATTCTGTTGCTTCCTAAGTGATTGTAATAACGTTCGTGGGCGTTGAGGCCAAAGCCTCAGTTCAAACATAAATTCCCCAGAATGCTGGTGGCCCTCTTAACATCCCTCCCAGTTTTAGCATTTTAATGAAGAAAAAAATAATCTCTTT